GATATTTGCAGAAAATACACTCAAGATTCAATTACTGTTTTAAATGTCAACCACGGTACCTATATTGCTATTTGCCATAATGATAGTTAATAAATTTCTAACGTCCACCAGTCGCCAGTATTTGATTACCAATCCTAATTGACCTTCATTAACGTAGAAACTAATATTAAGTTTGCAGTTTGTGGTGCTCTTAAATGAACTACATTATGATAAGACGTAATATTTATTCTGGTCACTCAAATAGTCTGTGCAAAAAAACTAAAATCCCTTCTCACTATAATGTAAGAGTGTTACCAACTGTACAGCTTCTAAGGGATCATACTTAAACTTTTCTAACACAATTTCAACAAAAAACTAACTCATGAAGATAACATGTATTTCTGAACTGTTACATGAGATTACATTTGGTGTAGCTGAATGACATAATGAACATGCAATTTTAAGTCATGTTTACTTACTTCGGATGTGAAAAAGAAGCTTCCTTGATTCAACTTTCTTCAAAACAGTAACAAGGTCATCTGGTTCAACAAAACTGAAATCCTCTGCTGTTCTCACACCAAGGTTTTCAAAAATATCCAGTACAGACTGAACTTTATAGGTTGGAATCACTTCAGATACAATCTGAGATTGATGATGAAAGGTTAGCCATCACTGCAGAGAAACATGGCATACACATCATCAGTTTAGATCAATGTTTCTCAACCCAGTCCTCAGGGACCCCCAGACAGTCCACATTTTTGCTCCCTCCCAGCTCCCTGTGCACCTGTACCGGGTATTCTGTGTACTTGATTGGCTGGGAGCTGGGAGGGAGCAAAAATGTGGACTGTCTGGGGGTCCCTGAGGACTGGGTTGAGAAACCCTGGTTTAGATAATCAACCATGAGGTCTGAGCACATTTTCTGTACATTTAACACAATGCTAGTCTGTAGATCAGTAAAAAGCATATTATACCTCTATAATACAGCAAGCAGGCTATTCACTCAATATTGAACAATAATTTCATTGTGTCGTCTGATACTGAGAGAGAATGTCAACATGTTGGATAACAGTAGTTAGTCTCCACTATTCGTTAAAGCTACTGATCCTCAACACTGTGTTTCAGGGAGAGAACTGTCATTCCACACAGACTGTATGCAACAAGTGGATAGAAATCCAAGCATTGGTCAGCACTGATGCAAAACATTGCTCTTGTGGCTTCCTCGATTTTATAGAGACCATACTGCGGCAGGTATGCAGAAGAATATGGACTCAAAAGGAAATAGACAAGCTTGTCCTTTATCAGAATCAGTTCAATCCTTCCAAATTCCACACACTCGTCATTTTTTATGCAAAGGAAGAACTTCTTTTTATACAGAGTACCCTTCAACTGCACTTCAGTGGACACCAAATCAGGATGTGGGAGCAAGCTACCTTCAATGGCATTACGCACTAAATCACTGTACAACTCAGGATGGTAAGCAGCTGAGTGTTTCACTTGTAAAGTCGGTGCAAAAAAAGAACTTGAGTTCAGGTATGTCTGAAGTAACTGATGGTTGTTTGCAAGTGTTTGGCAGACATTTTTGAAGTTTTGTGTCCTCCTGGCACATCTTTTGAAGTATGAGTGTTTGCTTTCAAACCTCATGGTCCATAACCTTATAAGAGGACCAAGCTTGATTATCAAGGAGGGATAGTGGCTGAGGTAGTGATGCTTTGGTTTGAGTTTTTCTGCTGGAAAGAGCTGTATCCTTGTCTCCAGATAATCTTGAATCTGAACCTTGAGGAAACTTACTTGAGCTACAGATATTCTGGGTGCGCAAACCAAATCAACAATCTCTTTCAGCTGGATCATTAGCTGCCACACAGGGTCCTCAGTATCTTTAACTCTGTCTCCAATAATTACAGGTAGAAGTCTTAAAAGACACCAGTTTTGTGCTGGCTGTCCACCAACTTTTTTGCCGCCTTCACGTACTTCAGATGGGGGGGGAACTTGCATCGGAGCCCTGGTATTTGAACTGTCTAATCCGCCTGTTTAGCTGTGTGTATGTAAACCATTTTTTTTCCTTCACAAAGTACTTGATGTAAAGAGCAAGGTCATACATAACAACACCTTCAAAGAGGTCATGGCCTATGCAGGGTGGGAGGCCTGGCTGGCAGACATGGAAATACTCAAGAACATTAAAAACTGAATCAAACTTTACTCCCTTAATGCTCACTGCCTCTGTGTCATGTAGTTCCTGTACAGTCTCCTTGTGGGTTTCAACTGTTCTCACTGGAAATTCATTTGTCACATTTTGCATTTCTGTTGTAGGAATAGTGCAGAACCTACAGCAATAACTTGTGCTGCTAAAGTTTTCAACAAAGCCACCTATGGTGTGCACACCAAGATTATCTCCAACAATACAGAGAATAGTGACACGCACGACCTGTCCTGACTCCATGACAAATCCATCTCTCTCAAGGTTTTGTAAATCAGACACCATCCTTGAAAACAGATTGTCATGCGCAAAGTATTTAAAGTCCTTTTCTGAACAAAGAAGCACAAGTTGAAGGTTGTCAACACAAGAACGATGGAATGGCTCAAAATTTGCTAGAGTAAAATAAACACCAACCATCTTGTGTTTTCTCCTTGATGACCCAAGAGGGTTTACAACCTCAAATGCATCCTGGTACAATATCAGTTTTAAGGTTAAACCACTCTCCAAAAATAAGCCATTTGACTTGAAGACACATCCATCACAAACATCAGTCAATACAACAGATGTAGTGTTACTGTGAGATTTCAAACACTCTTGCAATACAGCAGGGTCTTTTAACAGTTCTTTTAACGTTTCCATTACAGGGATATACTGCACATAACAGTCTCTGCGATTTTCATCTGTGCCCAGATGAATAACTTGTGGCTGCACATAGGGATAGTTTTGTTGGAAGTACTTTTTTCTTCTGTACTCAGTTGATAGATGAGAGCTGCATGATGAATGCAAATCTGTTCCTCCTAAATAAGTAATCACTTGTTTCACATCAGACCCTGACAAGTTTGTGTGAGATAACAGTATGTCTTTGATCTGTTTCCTGTTGAACTGCTGGCAAACATCATTCAAACTATTCATCTCTTCAATTATAATTTGCATTGTTGATGATGGAATGAGGCATTTTGCTTGCAGTTTCATAATAAACATGCAGAGATTTTTGGTGTACAATGTTCTCATTTCTGTATCATCGGCAATGTCATCAGGTTCCATCTCAAAATCTAAGCTTTCATCCTCACACAGTTCTTGTGTTGAACTCCTTTGTCGCGCAGATGGTGTAAGCGCAATGCTCAACTCTTTGTCCTGCCTATGAGCTCTTGAGATATGGGCTGAGAATGATGACCTGACTTTAAACGTTTTGTCACAATTTGAAAATGGACATGTCACCATTTCATTGTTTAGGAGGTGTGATTTTAGGTGTGCAAGAAGGTCTTTCAATTGTGTGCACTGTATCTGACAATCTGAGATCCCACATTTTAAAGTTACATACACATAAGGAATTTCTGAAGTA